GCCCGCCCGCCCGCTCACATGATAACATAATACGTCCCCGTCTTCGACGGGCGTATAAAAACCTATAGCTACATAACTAAAACCCCATACAAGCATAAACATTAACACTGAATTAATGGAATCAACCTACCACCACGAGTTCTGTAGTACGGAATAGGTGGTGTTGGCTCACTGAGGTCACCGTCAGGAGTTTCAGCCCTGATCCGGAACATGTAGTCCTTATCAGGAGCCATGTCATTGACCTCGTATTCCTCCATCCTGATTCCCCGGGCCAGGGGGCGCCACCGTCTGTGGGGCAGGTCCTGTACCTCTACCTGGTAACTGATTGGACGATCAGGCAGGTCATAGGGAGGTAGGTACACACGGTTCCAGTGAAGACGGGCTGAGCTCGGGGTCAGCGAGGAAAGTTCTGGTCTTGCGATAGGGACTCCAGAACGAACTGATAAGTAAAAATTATGTAAATAAATACAAATTGTACACACTTTTTAGTAAAAAGTTCTAAATTTAATAACGAGAAGGGGATAGGTATTAAAATAATATTGGATTACATTGCTTCTAAAGTGATGTTTGTAAAACATATTTGTTGTTGAAAAAGGTAGTTCAAATTTGTATTGCCACATGCAGCTGAATATTTTATATTTGGACCTTGTTGACAGCAAAGCAGTTTTTTTAATCATGCAACTTAACAAAAGACAATGACCAGCATCATACTTGCCAACTCCCAATTCTAAAGGGGGGATCCTGATTTTTGAGCCTCAAATTATACATCTTTGACCAATTATTTGATAAATTCTTCCTTTATTCTCATATCTAATGAATTTATCTGAACGAACAGCTAAAACAAGTCATTTTAAAGTGATGTTTTCTTCTAGGAGGTATATATATATATACACACAATTTTTTTTATGTTTTTTAATTTTTAGTACAAGTAATTTCCTCTATGGAATTGGTTGGCAAATAATATGCCATGGACTATTTTATTTGTAGAAATTCACAAGATTCCTACCATTTAAAGATAAACTTATATGTAAGTGCACCCACCACATTAAAACAAACTTTTTAGTACAGTACATCAATTACAGTGATAAATCTACATACAAGTCCCGAGTCCTATACTCATAGAATTTTGATGGGACTCGCAGAATTTTGATGGAACTCACAGAATTTTGATGGAACTCACAGAATTTCTAGAAATATTAAATTTAACATTGTGGGACCCATTGTTTTTAGCAATACAGTTGAAAATGATCCATGAAAATACAATGTAGATTGATCACTGCAATTATGCTGTATGTAGTACAGAAGGAAACAAGACTCCAGTGTTGGCATTTCAACATTTTACCCATGTTGTATACTTCAGTATTTTAACTCATTCACCCCTGAAATTTGATAATGAACTATTCCAGCCTTTGAATTGGAAGAGTTCACATGTGTCTTCAGAGGTGAATGAGTTAATTAAAAATGACAGGATCAGGGAATTTCTGTCAGCTGCTACTTCTGTAGAAAAGCAGCCAGCCAGGGCTGTAAACTCATTTAAAATCAACAGATCATGCTCAACTTTGATCTTAAGCAGTTACATTATTAATGTACAATCCATAAAAGATGAATTAATATTTCAAAGAGTAAATATCCTGACACCATCAACCAAGCAGAGCTCATTAACTGTCTGTAAGGGCCAAGCAAACAACAATGTCACAGGAACAGCTAGTGCTTTCTGAGGGATTAATGCAATCCAGAGACAGAGTAGAACAGCCATTTCCACTTTGTTTCATGTTCAACCATTTTCACCCTTGAGGAGAGGGCAAGTCTGATGATATAGGGTCATGATGTCAAGTCCTTGTTATATTTGAAATGTAAGGTCTCGTGTTTTGGAATAAACCATCTCCCACCCCTCAATCCTCATGAAAGGCCCTATATGCCGGGATATGTTTTGTATAGTAAACTTTCCCCAACCTCCAAACTCCAAGTTAGCATACATCAACACTCTTGTGACATATACATTAACACACACCAGTACCATCTACAGATGGAAGTTCACCACTTACATATACCTCTGCTCGCTCTGCTATATAACTTATAGATAATTGCTGTATCAATGTCTCACCCCCATCCTCTGCTTGTATAGTCCCCCTGCCCTCCTCCTCTGGATCTTAGACTCCCTACAGGGCAAACATGGGCCTACCCTGGACCAGCATGCCATATAACCCCAGGAGGACTCTCTGGGTCATCATGATACAAATTGGTGGCCAGATGGTCAAGCATGTCAAGGGTGCTCAAGGTCACTCAAGGATATTGCAGTGATTGGACACAGCTGAGGAAACTATTCTCAATTTGATCGATAAACAACTTAAAGTTATTTGAGAAATGTTGTTTGTGAAAATAAAAGGGTGTTCATCTTATTCTCATATCAATTTACATATATGGTATTAAGCATTCCAAAAACTAAATTAAAGGTCCCGAAAAGATCCTATTTTTGTATAGTATGAGGACACATCTTTCACAAGTTTAGTGAAAATGCCACTCTATTTTCTCAATCACCTGACTTTGTAAAGGCCGAAATGCTTCAAAGCATGGTTTATACTGGGTCTGATGCCCTTGCCAACTTGTCTTTGTAATCCAGTTTATAAATTCAATTGTAAAACCTGATGGTGACAGTGAGCAATCGCCAAAGTTGTTTTAGCTCAAGTTACTGCTGTTAGTGTCTTCAACTCGGTGAAGAAGAACAGTATGCACCATTACTGCATCATTTCTATGTATATCAACACCTGTATACTATACACTGTACAACACATGTGTCTGATGTTGGCAGGGTAGAGGATATGTTCATCAAACGATGGGAGACTTGACATTAGTGAGGAAACATCTTGATGCAGGGGACATGCATGATTATGAATGTACTAGTATGTTGATTTACAGAACTATCTCAAAGTGACAAATCTATACCATCTCCCAGGGTATATAACGGGGAATCAGTCTAGCAGTACCATACTTAACATAATAAACACACCTGTCCAATAATTTAAATACACATTACTTGCACCTTGCTCTTTTACACATCTGACCTCTTCAAGAGCTTTAAATTCATCAAGGTCATTCATTTGGACAGCCACTATATCTAGCCCTACATCGCAGCTTGCCACAGGCAAACTATCATGGCTATATTCTTCTTGATTATGAAGAGGAAGTTGTTCCAATGTTTAAACCCCTGTGGCCTTGAAAGTGGATCAAGGTCATTCTTTTGAAGAAACTGGATATTTTGTCACCAATGATGTAACTGACCAAATATCATACCTCTATTCCTCTTGCTAATTTAGAAGATGCTAAGGTTTTAAAACAGCTGACCCCCAGGACCTTGAAAGCGGGTCAAGGTCATTCATTGCATGACTTCACTTTCAATCAGTACTACAGACAAGATAATCAGTCATTTACATATTGAACACAAACTCAAAACATGACTGACTGAACCAGTGTTTTTTTTAACAAAATTTTACAAAAGCCTTCCTCAATGAATTGGGAAAATATGGCATCACTTATAATTAAATTGGGAATATATTCCTCATTTTTGGTCATTTTGGGAAAATAAGGCACTTTTCAGCTGGGGGAAACAGCCTGTAATCAGCGGTAAAACTGAGCAAAAAATTTACTGCAGATCCGGAGGGAAAATAATGTTTACAAAGAGAATATCTCCTCTTATCTTTAGTGTTCTAACTTGTATAAAGAACCAGGATATCACAAATTAGTGGAAATATATGTAAATAACCAAACTCAGTGTGTACATTATGTATGCAATACTATATACCTATCCTGGTACATCTTTTAGTAAGAGTTTGGTTTCTAGTATAAACAGTACCGACACATCTGAAGTATCCTAATGTATGTTATTACTTTCCAATCCAAGAGGTTAGGAGTTTTTACAAACATATATCCAGGGGAAATAAACATGTCTCCTGTATACCCAGATATGTAAATATACACCTCATCTAGATAGATAAGTGTGCTTTAGAGTTTGTATAAAAAGTATATAACAGCTTGAAGGATTATTTAAATGGTATCAAAGTATCACAGACAACAATATTCAGTTCTGCAGTAAATGACAACACCATGGAACAATAATTATAGACAATGTATTATGATATATGTTTCATATACTGTCCGAAAACCCCAAAATGAAGCTTATTTGTCCTCCAAATGAGATGGTTGTACCCCCAATTTTCAAGGACTGTCTCTTTTATGTATATGTACCAATCAACTGTCTACATGTATATTTATGAGACATCATCTGATTTAAGAAATTCAGTTGATGTCATTCAATTGTTTTCATTATGACATATCTATTACAATCTAATGCAGTCACTTCGGGTTCAGCACTGACCATTAAGACTGGCTACCAGCCTCTAAGTTTTAATAAAGAACTATTCAAATGCATTTTACTAATAGCTTATCTCCTCCTAGTTTGGAACTTGTATTATAGTAAATTCTTTTCCAAATGATTCAATATTCTAGCCATAGAATCAAAACTACAGATAAAAGGTATCAAGAACTGGATTCCACCTCAACGCTTCGTATGCCGTTCAGTATACAATCTATAGTATAGTGGACACTCAAATGCAATGAACAGTGTGATGTCCAAGGATATGGTCTTTACACTAGCTTCTATGACAACACTGGCTAGCAATTAACTCATTCACCCCTGAAGACACATTTGAACTCTTCTAATTCAAAGATTGGATTAGTTCATTATAAAATTCAGGGGTGGATGAGTTAAAGTTAAACATTTTCGCAGTAAGTAAAATTTAAGGCAAAACTGAAAAAAATATTGTAATATAACCATTTTTTTTCGTTATATTAATGAAGTGAAACTGACGATGCATCATCATGCACGAGTTGAAAGGGGAAGACATCCTCTGGAATTAAGAGAACGAAATCCTTGTACGAGGAGAAGGGAGCAAATAGAAGGTATTAACCCTTTCACCACTGTCGACCATAATGGACTCATCCAGGTCAAAGCATGGTAGAGTCTACTAAAGTTGCATAGGGGTGAAAGGGTTAATGAAAGATACGGAGAGGGTAAGAAACAGAAAATAGCTGGAGGAGTGAGGCATGTACCAAAATTAGTCCAGAGACAAAGATATCATTTTAACAAACAAACAAATGTTATTAGCCCAGCAGTGAATCCACATGACAGAGCTAGTTGATCTATATAGAAATCTGCCTAGTAGTTTACACATGCAGACCTGGACTCACACACATGGGAGGGACATGTGTTACTGATTCTCCTCCTAGGTACACACACTTCTGCCTCTACACTTGGCACCAATCATACCAGACACAGGTCAAGGCCAAACTGCCAGGTACCAATAATGCATGTATATCACACATACTGTGTCCCCCCATAAAACAGGGCTGATTTGCTGTTTATGGGGCAGTTTACACCTATCA